AACTGTGACTTTTTTGAGAGTAGCCACTGGTTCCAGTAAATCCAAGCCTGTGCTGGGTTTGCTCAGGATGCGTTTCTAACCTTGAATCGCCTCTCAGGGGCAACTCGTGTATGTGGAAAGCTATGAAATGTTTAGTAGTAGTTTAAACTCCTGCGGGGAGTGAAAATGGAAGGCTCAATCACAGAAATGGACCTTCCTACTTAATCCCAAGAAAGATGGACAGAAACATGCAACTATGAAAGCCCAGGGAACTGCGGTCCCAAGGACAAAACTGTCACCATTTGGACCACAACTCCTGGGCCTATTGAGAATAAATAGAAATCCTCATTCTGAGTTTGGTGGGGTTTTCTTAGTGTGTGTGTCTCCAGTTATTCCTAGAATCCCAGCATGGTTTGGGTTGGAAGGGACCTTAAAGATCATCTGGTTCCAACCCCCTGCCATGGGCAGCAACACCTCACACTAGGCTAGGTTGCTCAAAGCTCCATCCAACCTGGCCTTAATTTCCTTAAAGACACAAACAAAATCCCCTTAATCTGGAACCAGAGCACATACCAGTTATGCAAACAGGTATGCCAGTGTATGCTATCCAAGTAGAAATATGTCTATTAGATGCAGAATTCAGAAAGCCTTTTTGCCAAGAATCCTGATCCAAATCAGAGTGTGTCTGCCTTTCAGCATCCAGTTATCCATAGCAATCATGAACAGTGCTCTTGAGAAGGAAATGCGTTTAGGTACAAGGACTGAAGACATCCTTCATTCAAGGGTAGACACCTCATTAGTGTAAACCAGCACCTGTAAGGACTTCGCTCAACTCAAGAACATCTTGATTTCCATGACCTTGCCACTCCTGCCCCAGGACCTAGTGAAATGCAGGTTCCCTAGCCTTCTGCAGAGCAGCAAAGAGAACACATGCAATCCCAATTACCTGTGCACCCAACCTTTGATTTGGTTGCCAATAAAGCCACATTCTGCTTGGGAAAGCAGGTGGTGAGTTCAAATTGCCATTCATTTCTGGAGCAGGCTTTTTGCTGCTGCTAAACTCTGAAGTGTTTGCTGTGGTTAGAGCGGAAGGCAGGGAAGGACTGAAGGAACGAAATACCAGAGGAGCCAGCAAAATCAGCTTAGCCTTGGGTGGCTGCAGGGCAGTAGAGGATCAGCTTAAGCCTCTGACACATGTGGCAGAAGGAAGTGACTGCCAGTGAGGCTGCCCTTTAACACAAGGGAACAGGGCTTTACTGCTACTGAAGAAATTGATTTTTCTCCGTGGTACATTGTTATACAGTAGTACTCTAAAGATACATTGATAAAGGTGCTAACACACATATTCATTACCTCTTAAACAAAATCAACCAACCAAACCCCCCCCCCCGACCCTGTCAGAAGACATTGGTTAAATAGGTGCCTGTGGCATAGAGCATGCAATTACTATGTGAGCAAGAGTGGGAAGAATAAATGCAATCAACCCAGGATTTTGATTTCTTAAACTGTCATGACTGCCTCAGCAGAATTGCCTCACTGTGCTGTTCCATCACAAGTTTCCTAGTATTTCAGGCTGGTACAGATGCTAGTGCTTGACACACCCACAAAAGCCCTGTACAGAGCTGGAAGAAACCCTCTGTTCCTCCTTTTTTCAGTTTCCACTTATGCAAGAGGTTAAACAACTTCACATTCTTACAAAACACAGTTTGGCTAACTCCAGCACACTCACCAAAGACACATTACCTCTTATCTGGGGAAACAAGCAGAAGTGAGGTAGGCTCTTACTTTCCCTGGTAGGGCCTCAAAACTCCTGTAAATAAGTCTTTACGTTATCCTTTAGACCTTCTGTTAAACTTCTAATATTATCAGATTCTTCAACGCAGAAACATAGACCATAGAAATGTTCAACATTTCTATTGCAGAGCTAAATACTTTTAGGTGCTTAAAACTGTCTCCAAAGCTTTAATGTTTCTGCAGTTGAAATTACATAAAATTAGTTGTATATTCAACCTCTTACCACGTGTCGTGGTTCAAGCCCAGCCGGCAACTTGGAACCACGCAGCCGCTTGCTCACTCCCCCCTTTTTCCTTCCTCCCCCCGCTCCCGGCGGGATGGGGAGGAGAATCGGAGGAATGTAACTCCCACGAGTTGAGATAACAGCTCTCCAGTAACTAAGGTATAATACAAACCACTACTGCTACCAGTAATAATGATAAGAGGAATAACAAGGGAAAAGGACACAACCGCTCACCACCCGCCGACCGATACCCAGCCCGACCCGAGCAGTGATCTGGGCCTTCTGGGTAACTCCCCCCAGTTTATATACTGGGCATGACGTGCTGTGGTATGGAATACCCCTTTGGCCAGTTTGAGTCAGGTGTCCTGTCTCTGCTTCCTCCTGGCTTCCCCTCCTCTCTGGCAAAGCATGAGACTGAGAAAGTCCTTGGTCAGAGTAAACATTACTGAGCAACAACTAAAACCATCGGTGTTATCAGCATTGTTCCCAGACTGAAAGTCAAAAACACAGCACTGCACCAGCTACTAAGAAGGAGAAAAAATGACTGCTGTAGCTGAACCCAGGACACCACGTATGGATCTGTCTGAACCATCTCCTCTGTAGGATTTACCATTCAATTAAAAAACCTCTTAATCATAGTCATACGCTTCAGGACTGCAAATTCAAGGCTAACCCAGCCTGCCTCCATCAGGACAGGACTGAACGTAAGAATTGTACAAGCTTAACCTAATGCTTTTACAGTGAAATGAGGGATTTTGAAGAGGATTCATTTATTGCCAGACCCATTTCACCTCTCTAGACTAGGCTTATTTCTCAAATTCACTTAGAACAATCTCTGGTCTGAAAATCTTTCCACAAGGGATAAAAAAAAAAAGGCACTCTTGAATTCTTTTGTGTCAGTCCAGAAAGCACACTGAAGGGCTTTAAGGCTGCAACAACAGGTCCAAAGAACACTGGCATTTCTCCCATAAAACAAGGATTTCAGAAACCCTTCCAGAAAGAACTCACTTGCCCTTTTCTGCAACGCTGTAAAACTCTATTCTTCAAAATCCAGCAACTGGAGCCCACTGGATTGCCATGGGTAAGGATCATGCCATCCTCCACAACAGCTTTGTTCCTTCTCCTCATTCCCAGCCTGCCAGGTTTTTCCCTTGTCTGTAAAAGGGGTAACTTGCCATCTTCGCTGCTTCCTTTCTGCCTTGCATTATCAATTTTGATTAAGGAGCTTACAGAGCCAATTATGGGCTAAACTAAGTAGAAAATGCTTCTCAATTTCTGCAAGTCTGTAGAAAGTATTCCCTTGAAGAAGGGGGAAAAAGGCAAGAGCAACTGTAAGATAACCTGTTTATAGCTGCACAACTTCAATTTATCTCCCAAGTTACACAAAGCTTGTTTTACAATAAAAGTGCTTGTTACTCTGTCTTCATTAAGCATTTAACAGTTTTAATCCTACAAAGCTCTCAACCTCAGTAAGGTCCTGTAGCAAATTAAGCAGCTCATGTACTAGTGTTGGCTCTGCTCACTTTTGCTGCCATTGCTCATTTGCTTGGATGGCTCTTTTTAGTGACTAAATACACAAACTGTCCTGAAGGTCCTATCAGCCCTAAGTGAAGAGAGGGTTATTTCTACAGTCATTTCAATTATAAAGTATGGTTCAATTATTATTTCAAGGCCAGAGTGAACGGGGCTTTGAGCAACCTGGTCTAGTGGAAGGTGTCCTTGCCCATGGCAAAGGGGGTTGGAACTAGATGATCTTTAAGGTCCCTTGCAACCCAAACTATTCTGTGATTCTATGGTATCGTACACTAGAGCAGATTTAGATCAAGCAGCAATTTATGTTGAAAAGGGACTCCATCCCCCTTCATTTCTATTTTTTTTAAATGACAGTCAAACAAGGATGAACCAGGAAGCTCACCTTTTGCAGGAAGAAGATTCCTGGAACCACTAAAACTGCCAGAATTGTTTCTCCAGTCACAAAATTTGATAAAAAACCACCCAACCCACTAAGTTTTGCCTAAGGTCACTGTGTGCAGAGCTCTGACACACTACAACTGGAAGTTACGGACAAGATCTCTGGAGTGAAAGTAATAAGGAACCTCACTCAGTTTCAGATCCCCTTCAGAGTTTTCGTATCTGCTGATTTAAAGCATCTCAACTGTATTCTTTTTCAGTAATAATTCAGTAATTTACTTACCAAAGAGCTAGCAGAGACTTTCAAACTTGCCTCTGACAAGGATTTGTTCAGCACATTAAAACCCACAAAATGTACCGAAGTTAAACCAACTGGTCTCTAACAGATTAAAAAGAAAAAGCTAACAGTAGCCATCCACTTGTTAGGGAACACAGCATTAGAAATACCCTCCTCAGAGGATTAAAGCAGTCCTGTCCACAAAGCAGTTGTACTGTGTAAGCAGCACAGTATTTTTGTTACTACGCATTCAATTCTTAATACATTGCCACCTGGAAACCTCACCTTTTTTGTTCTAGCAACATCTTGTGTTCTTACGTTCACAACAGTGGAATTTCTCAACACTGCCTATTGCAGCCAGTCCTTGCTCCCTCACCTCTATCCATGACTATGCCTCCATCTCACGGTTCACTGGCCAGCTAAAGACACAGCCAGAGACATAAGTAGAGACTGTTCCTTCCACCCAAACCTGCACCATGCATTGGTGGCCAAATGGGATCATGTGTTGGTGTGTTACACAATCCCAGCACAGGCCTTTTACATTTCTTACCCATCATCTCAAAGTAGGGAATTTAAAGGTGTACTTGAAATTTGACAATGACAAGAGCTCAGACATCAGCTATTAAGGATGTGAAACCCACATATGGATCTAGTTACTCTTTTCATCTGTTTTAATGCCTCAGTTTATATTATCAGTAGCAGGTGGCTAAATGTAAGCTTAGCTCCGGAAACACTATGGAGTGGGATTCTAACTTGGCACTGTGCATGACCACTTTATGAGAAGTACACCATACAAAAGAAACCGCCACAAGTCAGTCAGTGTTTAAGGAATTTTTATTAAACCAAGAATTTTATAATCCAAATTATGTTTCTTTGCTCAGCTATCAATTCTCACTGTCAACTAAAACAGTGGTGATATTCTGAGCTTTTCCACAGTAAAGAATTACAAAATTAAAGAAAGGAATGCTTTAAATTTTTGTACTGTGCTGAAAATTCTTTTCCCCCGGGTTTATAAAACATTAAATTTGTATTTTTTATTTTACTATTTTTTTTAGATTTTAAATCAATAAGTAATCTAGGACTAGCACTTGTTTTGCTAGCCCCGGCGTTGCTCTGTACATAAGCTTCAAAGTTTCCTTTCCTTTTTTTAGTTATTTTATATTTTGCAATGTTTTTCTCAATATTTAATAGTTTTTCCATGTTTAGATTTTTTTTCTTCGGTGAAGCGAAGTTCTAGATTGTAGTCCCGGATCTTCCTGCAAACAAAAACAACGTTGTTAGGTTTTAAAGTTAAAGCAGCACCTTATGTTTCCTGACATGCCTGCTGCAACTCTAAGCCTGACAGCACTTTGGGGTTTCACGGTATCACACCAAAGTGATTGATACCATCACACAGCCTCACACAATAGCTAAACACAATTAACTTGTTACTGTAAGTAACCTGACTGCAGGTCACCTCTACACTTAATGTCAACATACTAAGGCTCAGCAAATAACTACACCAGCAGTATAACTTCCAACTCCTAAAACATCATTAAGCCTATACAGTAATGGTCTCGAAGCAGTGTGAAAGTGTCACTAGCAGAAAAAAAAAATACATGGAGAAAGCAAGAAGTGTAGAAAAAACATAACTCAAATTCTGTCTCCAAAAGGAAAGTTGCAGAAGTGAAAAGACCAAGAAAAAAAAAGGGTTATTTTAAGTGATCAAATATTAAAGCAGGCATCTTCAGTTGATGGCTATAAACGTGGGAAGTTCATTGACAGGCAAAACCTAACTGGACTGAACGAGGAAGAGACCCCTGTATTATCTTTAACTCCACATTTTTCCCTTTCAAAATCATAAAGGTACTACCTTTTGCCTCATCCTGTCACACAAATTAAGACACTAACCCCACGGAAGGCAATAAAGAAAATCAGTATTTTAATTGACATCAAACTTGAATTCACCAAAATGTGAAGTTAAGACACTTTGAATTTTAAGTTTTAATTACTGTATAATTTTACGTTTTGGCAAGTATATACAAATTATAGTGTGAATAAGGCACTTCATTTCTAAGGGGGGGAAAAAAAAAAGGTTGGAGTACGGTTTTAAGCTTACTTCAATTCCACAAGTTCCTCTGGAACAGCAGTATGAATAGCAGCGTCTCACAGAACTGCCCGTTTCTGCAAGCATGCCTAGGACTACTTCCAGCTAAATACGCTGTTAAAACCAATGCTCTAATACTAGCTAAATATGCAAGACATACCAGTAGCATTTGCTAACCATGAGCTACAGAACTGGACAAGAGGATTTAGTACAAAATTTGTTAACAACTGGGACCATAGCTGCTACTTGCTGTAGCTGCAAATGATCCAGAGCCTGGAAGCATGCTGCTTAGGCAGCCATGGAGTAAGGGCTATTGCCCCAGTCAACCTATAAAACCACGCTGCTCAGAAAACTTACTTATTAAACACTTGGAACCCCAGTGGGATTATTAACTGCCTTTTGAGCAGCCTCTTTAGCTTGGTGGGCTTGTAGTACGGCTACAGCTTCATCAACCTGTTAAGAAGAAAAATTAATAAATGAAAGCTTAGTCATTCCTGTATATTTAAGTTAATGAAACAGTTTAAATTATACATACAAACAACACCTGCATTGTTAAAAAGAAAAGGATAACGTTACAGTTCATGCTAATGTAAGTCACTGCTGCCCCCTGAAAGAGGGTGTTCTAACTTCTTGCCCTGGGATACTGTCGCATTGCTGCTACTCTACTGTGCCAGCATAAACAACTGTTCAATCAGTGTAGACTTAACTGCGGATAAAACTAGAGCAAGGCAAAAGTCCACGTACCTTCGAACGAAGAGACTCAGGAGACTCGAGCATGTGGAGAAGTTCAGAGTTGTCAATCTCCAACAACATCCCAGTGATCTTACCCGCCAAAGTAGGGTGCATGCTTTGAATGAGAGGAAAGAGACGTTCACCTGGAGAGAAAAAAAGCTAATCTGAGTGACCAACCTCATCAGACAAACACAGCCCAGATTTAAGAGAAAGGGAAACAAACGGCTGTTTTACTGATAAAACTGGTTATTCCACATTTTAACACTGATAAAGACTACTTTGACTGTCCTTCTACTACAAGGCATAGAGAAATGCATTGTGTACATACCTAACATCTGCTTTTGTTCTTGTGGAGGGGCAGAAGCCAACATGGAAGCAGTCAAGGGTTCCTGACCTTGCACATGGACAGCAGGCTGCAAATTTAATTTGACACCATTTCAACATTAAATTCTAGTTCATAATTAGGTGCAGCTTAAAATGCCCAATGTTTCACAACTCAATATAAACAATGCCTGCACTGTCAGAAACATGGAAGAAATTACAACTAGGCAATTTAATCAAATACTGCTGGTTAGAGCCAAGTGATACTGGAAGTTAGTATCAACCGCTTCCCTGTGGAGCAAGCACAAAGAGAATTCAGGCTAAGGTAGCAAGCAACTGGAAAATATGAAGCAACATGGAATCACATCCTGTCCCAGGTGAACTTGAAATATACTTAAAGCCCCAAGGCTCTAACTCTGCTGCCATAATGTAGAGCTTCAATTCTAGAATAACAAAAGACAGCTCTTAACCACAAGTACCGCCCCCCCCCACCTTCCTCTGCAAAAAGCATCAGCAAAAGCATGGACCAGTTCCTGAAGTCACGTACCTGCTGCATGGCAACCTGGGGCTGTGTGTTAAGATGCTGCTGAGGATTACGAACACCTGCAGCGTATTTGTACTGTGGTACTGTGCGTACAGCAGGAGTAGCTGCAGTAGCTGCTGCCGCAGGACGTGGACCCATTGTTTGTGTCGCTGTATTAGCTGAAAAAGGTAATTCTGTGTATAATTCATTTTTTTTACTTAAGTCTACACTGTAAAAGTTAAAAATCCAACAAACCAGCCCAAGCTGAATAGCTAATATAGGTATTGTATTACAGATTCATCTCAGTAGCTTTGTCAACTGTCACATCACTGGTTATACCTGAAGGTTCAAAGCTCGAAGTTTACTGGATGTTACTTTCGAGTCATTTTGCAAACGAATTGCTTATGTGCTATTGAAAAGAGATCTGTGAGACAACACTCACATTGGTTGAGTATTAATTTAATTTCACTCTAACCTCAAATGACACTTAATTTCCTGAGCAATTTATGTCAACAGTCACCCTAAAAAAGATGCTTTCATGAAGTAGATAGATAAAAAATACTACTGCCTAATACATTCTGAGAGAATTAAGACTCCATTATAATCAATTCTGGTTCATTCAATGATGTGCAGATTTTGCATACATGATACTGGATCACGGTTATCTATGACAAAATAATAAGAGCAAAAATAATATCATCTCGCTATTTCTACATGCAATGTATTACAGCTGCCATAATATTTAGAAATGTCAGCTGTCACAAAGCATTACTGAAGTGCACACTAAAAGAAGAAATGCTTCTTGCTAAAGAGATGGGACCACAGCTGGCATCTCTGCTGGGACAATATTTAAAGCAACTACTAGTTTACTCATTTAGTAAAAGCCAGGGAAGGAGGGAAGTGTTACCACTTGTGATATTGAAGTTATGACTGCTTTTGAGAGATCATTCTGAATCAGCGAGATTAAAAAGTTAGTCTAATACTTAAAGTTTGCATAAACCAAACTCACCAACACGTTGTGCTGACATGACTCGTGGAACTTGTGAAGAAGCTGGTCTCATGGCACTAAATGGTGGTCTGGGTGCTGCTGGGCGGATAGCACCAGGCATATTTTGGAATGCTACGTTTTAGAAAAAAATATACTAAGTTACACATGCTGAAATACTGGACATCAAGAAGAGTTCAGAAGTTATACCACTATCATGACAAAGAGAAGAAAGATTGATACTGTAATGCCGTGAAAATGTATTTAAAAGTTGAAAAGTAAATGCTTTGGAGTTTACCACAGTCACCAGAAAGAGGTAAAGAAGTGACTTACGATGAGGTCTGGCACCCTGAGCAGTCCAGCGAGGACTAGGTCTAGCAAGTTGAGCAATTTGATTAGTAGGGTAGTATGCAGCACGGTTCTGAGTCTGTCAAACAAAAACACTGTGTAACTACGTTATCTTTCAAGGGCATACTGAGCAGTCCAACATCTTTCTGCTAGGACATTAGAATGCTGAGATTATGGACACCTGATAATAGTTACATTTACTGTTAAATCTAAACAGATTTTATGCACGCAAGAAAATGTTCAGTTACTCATCTCTACACATACCTGTGGGATAGCTGCCATGAAGTAACCTGAAGGAGGTGCTGGTTGGTATGGGTTGATTACAGGATTGGGTACTGCTCTTACGCTTGCCATTCTCTGCATATACTGGTTGGTGAGATGAGCTTGGCGCTCTTCTTTACGCTGGGCTAGAGCTACATATAATGGTTTAGTAGCCACAATTCTACCATTCATTTCTGTGACAGCTTTGGTGGCTTCTTCTGGTGATGAAAAGCATACAAATCCAAATCCTTTGCTGCGGCCACCTTCCATCATGACCTGTCGGGACAAAATTTAGTTTTGAAACAAAAGGATGTCATATCTATTCGACCCGCATGAGTTTCATTCTTTAGCTTATGAGAAGTGAGCCACAGGTTTGTTTTACTGAATTGATTTATAAAAAGGAATATAACTGCTTAACTAATAGCTGTTTACTGAATAAAAATTATAATCTCAGTGAAGTAATGATGAACATGTTATTGCAATGAAAAGATGTCATTTTCTCACATTAATTTTAGTACCTAGTTTATTTCAAGAAAGGATGATCACACGCATTTAACCTGAGATGTATAATAATCAAGAAAGCAGATGTCCATATATATACAGAGGATAGTAGCAGTGATAAATGACTGGGTCACATCTGTTGTCAGTGAAATAAATCACTCTTCCGTGGTGAAGGAAGATGATCACTGTTCATTTTCAGAGAAAGGACAAACACAATCTATGAACTTTACCTTTGCACTAGTGATTGTACCAAATGGGGAGAATTCTTTTCGAAGACGCTCATCATCGATTCCATCATCAAGATTTTTCACATAAAGGTTTACACCCTAAAAAAAAAAAGCAAGTTATTTTTGAAAACAAATGATAGAATAAAGTTAGTCCTCTTGAATTGAAACTGAACCTGGTATCTGGTGATCCTGTCCTGCTTCATTTGTTCGAACTTGCGCTTCAGCTCCGTTTGTCTTTCCACCTTTTTCTGAGCCCGGCCAACATAGATTTGCTTCCCATTGAGCTCTTTCCCATTCATCTCATCCACAGCCTTCATTAATAAACAAGAAGTTAGTAGTGCTTTGATTCCAGTGTTTCTCAGGCATGCAAAAGAACTACATAACTCCAATACAAAAAGTTTCATAAGGATTACAGAAAAAGAGCCTATCTATTTAAAATACCATGAGCTGAAATGAAATACTCCAAGACTTTCCTGCTTAAAGTAAAATGGAAATTGCTTTCAGAAGGTCTTCCATCCAGTTAAAGAAAAGTGACAAGGGATGAAATAACTATTCTTATATTTGGGGAAAAAAAATCAAGTCACAAAGTATTTTGAGCTGCAGCTCGTATATATGGCTTTTAAAAAATTCTTTTTTTAATCTTTCATTAAGGAAATACTTAAGAGTATTAAAACCTTTTTCCCCTTAAGCTGTTTCGAGTTACAATTATTAAGAGGCAAAAACTCTGGCACAGATTTATTCAACTGATTTAAAACCAGAAGTCACCAGTTTATTGTATACCTGCCTGATCAAAGCCACTAAATATATATATATACTGAGATATTAGAATTTTATGTTATCTGAAACACCAAACATGTGATTCTGACTACTGCAAGAGACACAATTCATCAATGAATGTATGGAAGACTGAACAATGTAGATGTAAGACAGAAAGGATTTGTTCTAATCTCTTGCTTGTACACTTGCAGTGCTGACAAATCACCAAAATGCCTTTTGAAAAGCAAACTTCGTTTGCTGCCCTGATTCATTCTGTGTTGAGTTCTTCTCTATTGCCACAGTCGACTGGAACATCAAGGCAAACAGCTGACAAAGAATTAAGTTGTACAGCATAATGGCATGTTATAGACATATACACAAATCAAAAGAACACTTCTTGAAAGTTACTCTTCACAGTAAAAGCAACATCTCATAGGGCACTATGACTTTTCTTATAGCTGTGCTAAACAAGCTTCATAGAACTATTAGCTTTCCTGCTG